CTCCTTAGAAGCCAGGATGGCCAGACTTCTCTCTCATACTTCGGATATATTATCAGAAGGACATCATGCTTGGTAAAGTGGAGGGTCAGAAACAGAGAGGAAAACTCACAAGGAGACAGATTGGTACAGTGGCAGCAACAATGGACTCAAGCGTGGCAATAGTTGTGAGATTGGCACAGGACCAGGCAGTGTTTCATTCCATTGTGCATAAGGTCATTCATTATGAGTTAGTACCCACTCTATAGCACCTAATAACAGCCACAACAAATACTTGGAGGAGGCAGCTCTTCCCCAATTGTATTTTGAGTGCCTTCCAACCTGACTGGTTCATCTTCTGACACCATATCAGACAACGATCCACTGCTATTCATAAGATTTTCAGTGGCCAACTTTTTCAGAAGTGGATTGCCAGATGTTCGTTCCTAGTCTGTTTTAGTCTGAAAGCTCCATTGAAACCTCTACACTATGGATGACCTTGCTGGTATTTGAAATATCAGTGGCATATCTTCCAGGATCACAGCAACACACAATCCACCACAGTACAACAGACTGTCAGATGAGTGGATGATATCATATGAAAGTATCTCCAGGTTGCTATGAGTCAGAATCGACAAAACAGCACTCAACAACATCCTAAATAAAAATTCTCCCTTTTCTTCAGACTCCCTTTCAATTATCTGTCTTTAATTTTTGTCCTTTTTCCTTAATCATAAAAATGCCCACAAAGGACTTGTCTATATTCAATTTTTTCCATTTCATAATGTCCCATTCTTTCTTGAATTAAGTTCAGTAAAGACTACATGTCACCATTCCACTCCAGTGGTGAATTTTCATTTATCAATTTATTCAAACTCTGCTTGGCCATTCTCTCTTTCAAGAAACACTTTTGTAACTTGACTTTTAGATCATCAAACTTTCCAGATTTTTATCTTTCTTAGCCTTCGTTTTTGGCCCCTCCCCTTTTTCCAAACTCTATGTTAGAGTGCTTTCTTCTCTATTTCCACTCATTCTGTGCTGAGATTATCTGCAGTTCCAATATTTTAAATAGTATCTACTTGTTGATGACACCATTTGTGTTACCGGCTCTGGCTCTTTCCTGAATTTTAGCCTGTCTGTTGAACATTTTCCTTGGAATGTCTAGCAAACCTACAAAAATTAGCATGGCAGAATCAAACTATTTTTAGCTCCAAACTAGGTCCTTCTCCAATATGCCTTATCTCAGTAAATGGCATTTTTATACACCAAGTTACTCTGGTCAATAACAACCTAGTAGCTGTCCTTAATTCTGCTGTTTGCCTCACATTCCACACCACCAGCAAAGTCCTTCATTGTGCTCATGAGGAACCTGTACATAGAGCAAGAGGCAGTCATTCGAAAAAAACAAGAGGACAAGTTTTTAAATCACCATGCTATCTTCAGTATCTACTCAAACACTTCTTACATACCTCCAGCACTACCACCCTCATCCAAACCACCACTGTGTCTTACTTTGATTACAAGAGACTTTGGATTGGACTTGATGTTTTCATACTTTCCTCTTTTAGGCAGTCAGAGAAAGTATTTTTTCAAAATGAGTCAGATCACTTTTTCTATAAGCACATCCTACTTCAACTCAGGAAAGTTGTCTTCTGTCTTACAGTGTGCTCATGACTATATCCCTAATGTTCAAGAAATAATAGATAAGTTAATACATAAATCAAACAAAGCTACAAAGTTATGTTGGGCTTCAAATGCCAAGATAAAGAGTTTAGATTTTATTCAGAAGATGATGGAAAGGCTTGAAGATTTCTAAAGTGGGGATAGAAACATGCATAACATACCTCTTACCCTCCAAAAGTTAATAATTCATAGAAACCCAAAGAAACCTATATTTTTCAAAAGAGAAGCTGACAATACCATGTACCATACCAAAAGGCTGATGTAAAACAACTGTAATACATGAATTTAGCTAAGAAAATATGGGCAGGGACAGGTGAAGGGAAGTTAGAATCTAAAAGCAACAAGTCATATCCAAGTGGAGGAATGTCTGGGAGAACATATCTTAAGCAGGAGAGACATTGTTTGCAAAGACACAGAGGCAAGAAATTTATGATGAGCTTAGAATACAGAGAGTAGATTAGTTGAGACCAAGACTAAGAATTCATGCAAAGGGGCTTCACAATAATTTGTTAAGAAATATTTGTTTTATCATCAAGGCATGATCTGTAAGTAGAAATGTTTGCCTCAGAAGTGAAAGCAAATAATTATACTAGGAACATCACAATATGGTCATAAAATCATGAATTAAATCATTTTCCACTTCCTGGTAAATACATTTTATAATTAACTAGTATTTCTTTTTGTTTTCATTTCCCACAGAGTTGCCACCCCATTTGGAGGTTTTGAAAAAGCATCAAAAATGGTTAAATTCAAAGTTCCTGATTTTGAGCTACTACTTCTAACAGATCCCAGATTCATGGCCTTTGCCAGTCCCCTGTCTAGCAGACGGTCCTTTAATAGGACTCCTAAGGGGTGGATATCTGAGAATATCCCTATAGTAATAACAACTGAACCAGCAGAGAACATCACTGTACCGGAATCAGAAGACCTATGAAAAGGAAGTTGTGATTGTATATGCCACCAAATCTCTGAGCATAAAAGTTGCCGTTCTTTACTCTAGTCATTGACAAAGTGACTTATACTCTTCATTAGTAGCAATCATTTAAAAGCCATTTAGCAATTTTCCTTTTATAGCATTTGATTTCAATCTCAGAATACTAATAAACAATTCATAATCTTGTTTAAAAAAAAAACACAATGAATTTGTCTTCATTCATTTTGTTTTCATCTGGTCGGGATAAGAACAAATATTCCTGCCTTTTCATTGTGAAAATTCAGATGCGTAACTAACAACAAAGGGTTTCACCTCTGTTTCTTTCAATATGATTTATTCCTGTGTATGCTTTTCAAAGGAATCTTAACTCAGAATAAACTGTCAGATGTGGTGGTCCTAACCTCCCCACCCAATGGGCTCCATCAGAGAAAGACCAATTTATCTGCTCCCATAAGGTTTGTTGTTGTTGTTAAGTGTTGTTGAGTCAGTTCCAACTCATAGCAACCCTTTATAGGGTTTCTGAGGAGCACTGGTGAGCTTGAACCACCGACCTTGTAATTCAAACCAACCTTGCAATCCAGTGCATTAACCTATAAAGATTACAACCCTGAAAAAAGAGTTGTTCTGCTCTGTCACATGGGGTCACAATGAGTCAAACATTGATTTGATGACATACAACAACATTAAGTGAAGAATGAGAGACAATGACTTAAAGGACTTCATGCTATTACAGTTTTAGTGACTAAGAATTAAATTTCACAAATTCCAATTCTGTGTGTTGATTAGGTTCAACTTTATGCATGTATTTTTAGAAGAGCAAGAACAAATAAAATATACACACATACATATAAACAAATGAGATGTGTGAGAGAGAAGAAGCAAGAATATAGTTTAAATTGTCAGCTTTTTTTGGGTCTTTAAATTCTGTTGAAATCATTAAGTACTAGGGAGTACATGATATTAAAAAAAGAGGGGGCAAGAAACAGAAGAGTACAAAAGTATCTGAAAGTAATGTAGCATACATCTATCATGAGGTTTGTGACTATATTGGCATCAATGATTCAAACTAAACCAATATAGTGCTGTCATGATAGCCATCATATTTCTTCCTTTCCTGAAAATGTCTATTAATGTTAGCTCAGCTGCCTACCACCATTGGAAATGCCATAACTTCACACTCAGGTTGCTATTCAATTAAGCATTCTGAAGAAATGTTGAATGGGTTTTTCATTGAACTGAAAAACTGCTAAATCCTTAGAAAATCAGAAGAAATATGATAGACTCTTTAGGACAACAGAAAGACTGACATTTTTTCCCAAACACTTGCATTCATATACAAGTAAAGTAGCAAAAAGAAGGAAAATTTTAAATAGAGCAATAAAAGTAATATTGAGGCATTATTATACCAGATAGTGCACTCACTGTTTTATAAAGGTGGTGCTGTAGGACAAGAACTGGACTGCTAACCACAAGGAAGGCAGTTCAAGCCCACCAAGCACTCTGTAGGAGAAAGATGAGGTTTTTTGCTCCCATGATGATTTGCAGCCTCGGAGGCCCTATGCTTGGTGGCTGTAAGTTGGAACCGACTCAATGATGCACAATAATATAAAATAATCACCACTTTATATGTCTGTGTGTATAAGTGTGTGGGGGGAGGGTGGCACTATAGGATAAGCACTGGACTGTGAACCACAAGGTCAGAAGTTCAAACCCATCAGTCACTCCTTGGGAACCCTATATAAGATTGCTAAAAGGCATAACCAACTCAACAGTACTTAACATCAACATGTGTGTGTATGTGTGTGTGTGTATGTGTGTGTTGTTACTGGATGCTGTCAAGATGATTTTGACTCAGTGATCCCATAGGGCAAAGTAGAACTGTCCCATAGTGTTTCTTGGATTGTAATCTTTAAGAGAGCAGATTGCCAGATCTATCTATTTATATACCACAGAGCGCTATGGTGACTTGAAATAAACCTAGCTTCTAAATGGAAAAGGACTCCTGGTGTGGCACTGTCGGATCAGCACTGGTGAGAACCATGAGGTCGGCACTTCAAACTTACCAGCTGCTCCTTGGAAACCCTGTAAAGGGTTGCTATAAGTAGGAACCAACTTCACAGCACTTAACAACAATATAAATGGAAGAAGTCGATGGCTCCAAAATATGTGATGTAAGTACTTAGCATTCATAATTTCTCTTTCAGAATAGAACTCAGCTTTAAACTACTGTATTTCTAGACAAAATAATTTTTAAATCCTCACTATCTTCATTTGGGCACAAGTAGCTATAAACTGAGTAATTAGAGAATCATTATCATATGAAACCAAGCCTATTTCTGTGGAGTTGATTCCAACTCACAGAGTTTCTATAAAATAGTGTAGAATTGCCCCACTGAGTTTCCGAGGCTGTATGTAATCTGCAGGCGCAGACTGCCACATCTTTATACCACAGAGTGGCTGGTAGGTTTGAACTATGAACCTTTCAGTTAACAGCTGAGCACTGAACTACTGAGCACTGAGCTTCCAGGGCTTCTTAGAGTGGTGTTTTGTTGTTGTTGTTGTTGTTGTTAAGTGCAGCTGAGTCAATTCCGACTCCTAGTGTCCCGTATAGGGTTTCCAAGGAATGGCTAGTGAGTTCCAACCACTGACCTTGCGGTTCAAACCGAACTAGTGCCTATCTATCCTACAGCGTCACATAAGTACTCATAATCACATGAAGCTTAACGTTCAGACTGTGTTGAAAATGTAACAAAACAACATGTGTTTAATTTTGAAATAAGAAAAGCACAAACTATACTTTTATTTTTGAGTCCTGGTATGGCGCTGTGGGTTAATGCACTGAACTGCAAGATCTCTTGGAACTATAAGCTCGGTGGTTCAAGCTCCCAAGCCACTCCTCAGAAACCCTATACAGGGTCATTATGGGTCAGAACTAACTCAACGGCACTTAACAACAACAATACTTTTATTAAACCTGCTTATTTCTGTTCAGAACTATATAACCTCTAGAGATAGGTAATCTGCATTCTCTTTCCACCATAAAGATGTCTGACAAAATAAATAATAAGGTCCAAAAGAAAACATCTGGTGTAATACTATGCCAAAACAATTCTTTCAAATAAAAAGCATTTTCTATTTTTCAAAACTTTTGAGAAAAATCTCTTGATTTACATTATTATACAGTTCAACAGACATCTGGCTCATGGAATCGTCTTATATTCTTTATGCTAGTTTCCTCCTATGTTATTAGGATTAGTAATCAACTGGCTAACTGTCCACGAAATGATAACTTGTTATTGCTAGTTGCTATAGAGTCAAATCTGACTCATGGTGACCCTGTGTATGCAGAGTAGAACTTCCCTCCATAAGGTTTTCAAGGCTGTGACCTTTCAAAAGCAGATCAGCAGACCTGTTTTCCAAGGTGTCTATGGTTAGGTTCAAACTGCCAAACCTTGACTAGTAATTGAGCTCTTAACTGTTTGCATCACTCAAGGACTTCAGAAGATAACTGTTATTATTGTTAAGTGCCATCAAGTTGGTTCCAACTCACAGCAAACCTGTATAGGGTTTCTGGGCAGCGGTTGGTGAGTTTGAACTGCTGACCTTTTGGTTAGCAGTCCAGTGCTTATCCTATCCTATAGAACTACATGAAAACTAGAGCTACTTTAAAATAACCACAGTTATGACTAAAAGACTACAATTATTGTCTTTGAATGCTTCATTTAACTTTTTCTTGAATTCCTTATTTTCCATCTTTTACATCAATATTTGAAAATATTTTATAGTTAAAACTAAATATTGTTGTTGCTGCTGTTGTTAGGTGTCACCAAGTTGGTGCCAACTCATAACAACCTTATATACAATAGAATAAAACACTGCTGAGTCCTGTGCCAATTTCACCTAATTATTGCTATGCTTGAGCCCATTTCTGCTGTCACTTTACCAATCCATCTCATTGGGTTCTTCCTCTTTTTCAATGGCCCTCCACTTTACCAAGCATACTGTCCTTCTGGAGGGACTGGTCCCTCCTGAATATGTCCAATGTATCAGAGACAAAGTCTAGCCATGCTGGCTTCTAAGGAGCATTCTGCCTACACTTCTTCCAACATAGATTTGTTTGTCCTTTTTGGCAGTCCATGGTACTTTTAATATCCTCCTCCAACACAGTAACTCAAATGCATCAAATCTTCTACGGTTATTACAAAATCAAGGTAAACATAGACAATCATTTTTAGTCAAAATAACCACTTATTGCATTCATTTAAAATTTTACATTTTTCTAAATAGACCAACCCATTTATAAATGTTCTCACAGCTTGCAAATGGAAGGAGCCAATTATTCTTGCAAAGGCAAATGTGGAGCAAAATGTCCAGTCGTGAGTGTGAAAAGAACATCCTGAACTTTCCAACTTAGGGCACAGCTGTACCAGCACTTATTAAGTCTGGAATTTCCTCACTCTGCTGCTTGTGCAAGATAAAACTGGCATGACATCATTACAGTTTTTCAGCAACAACTCCTTTTAATTAAACTCAGCAAAGTATTTCTCTGAATGCCCCTTTTATTATGAAGAAAGCTTTTGACCTCCAAATGCTCTATTATGTAGGAAGAAGGGCAATTCAGTTTCTATGAAGCATGGAAGTGCCAGCTTTGTGCCAGAAGAACAAGCAAGAGAAGTCCCTTCCAAATAAACTGTTCAAAGCATATTGAAATAGCTCAAAAAAATTTTATTTTAATGGATCATTTTAAAGTAGTTAGCTTCCCAAAAATAAGAAAAATTAAGTAAAATTGTATAAAGGTTTCAATGATGAAAGCTGAAGCATTAATACAGAATTAAAAGTGTGTCCCTATTTGAATTTCTTGAACTGAGGAGCTAGATTTCCACACAGGATATAAACTTCCCCTAGCTTTTCTCTATCATGTGATTTCACTAGGAATATTCACTACATACAGGGAAGTAGACAGTATGTTACTTCAAAGAGGTTTTAGTTCAGTCCAAATA